TGCAAGGCCACTAGAAGGAGGATCTTTTGCAAGAGATCGCCGGAGAGGATTCGAACAACAGAAAGTGAGATGGAGACGGTAAAGAGGATTGATGGAACATCTATGAAGCTTATAAAGACAAGGTGAGCCCAAGGGTCGAGGAGTCAGGAAAGCGATGAGTTTTTTGAATCTCGAAACGCCAACCCCTAAATCTAACCGTCCACTCTCCCACACGATCTTCTCAAGCCGTTAGGTTATCATTAGCAGCCTCTAATAATTACCCCCTAATCAATAAGGGGTAATTATGGGGGTAGTTGAGGATGCAGCAAGTGGCATGGGCCGGATATAGTTCGCTGGAACGGGATCGGGTCGAACAATTGAAGTAGGATCCATGCCAAAGCGCCCCGGAATGGGCCGAACCTGGGGAATCCGCTGAGGAAGATCAAGCCCATTGGAAGATCAACCCCAGAAGGAAGAAAACTTTTGAATATAGGCCCAATGTAATCAGTTAACAACAATAATGGTAATGGCCTACAAATAGACCATTACAGGTGGAAAAGATGGAGGATTCTAGAGAGAGAGAGAGGGAAAGAGAAAGAAGAAATGAAATCCTGTATCTTCAATATATTTTACTTCTACTGAGCATGCAATGGTTTTTTGAAGGCTCTAGCAAATAATATACAATCTGTTTTGAAATGTGAGAAAATATTATTAGATGTACACCTATGTGTTTTCTTTGCAACCTTCAATTGAATAAAATCAATGTTTATTTAAAAAAAAAAATTTAATATTATTAGATACAGGCCTAGATTTTTCATAATAATACAATGACAATTATTTAAATTATTGAACAGAAATACATCAATATAAAGACTGTCTTTGATTTTTTTTTATTTTTAATTCTCATGTGGAAAATAAGATAAAAACAAAATAAAAAATGAAAAACAAAAGTTAATAATGTTTAATTCTGGGAAAAAAAAATTAGTATTTTCTTATTTAATACTTTACTCTTATACTATATTTAATTTTCATTTATTTCAAGAAAAAAAAAAAAAAAAGGAATTTCAAGGGTTAAAAAGTCTAAATCTTGCTCATCATGATAATATAATTTTTTCATAATATTATTCATAAAATTAGTGATTGCAATTATATATTAAGATAATTATCGGGAAAAAACTATATATTAAGAATATTAGTTGAATATGTAGCAAACTTAAAATTAATGTTAATTGAATGGAAAGACAACGAATCATCACCACAACCAAATAAGCAAATCATAGTTACATATATGGACTAGGTAATGTAATGTACTAGAGAGAGAGAGAAAGAGATGTGTATTCCCCATTACGTTAGACCTGACTTTATAGGTGACTTTAAGGGTCAAGAACTGCATTCTAAAGGGCGAACACCTTTTTTGAGGTGACTTTAAAAAAGGGTGCCTGATATATTTATTTGACACTTGACGGATTAATTTAATAAAAATTAACTGATTATAAAAATTTTGTAATTTATTAATGCATTCTTACAGATATAACCAACAATATTAGCAATATTAGCATGAGAAATCTAACTTTCTCTCTCTAAAATCCCATCTCTTTCCCTCTTCACACAGAAAAGCTTACCACTGTTGACACAAAGACTCCTATGTCCTGCTAAGCTACATCACAATTGTGGAGGAAAATGACCTTAGTTTTAAGGGGCAGAGTCCTTTAAAAAGAAAATGACCTTTTTACCCCCACACAGCATTGAACCCGACCTACTAAACAGCCAGCCCAACAAAGAAGAATCTAACACCAACCATTGATGATTTGGTGGGACTCAATGGAAAGATTATATAAATCGTAGTAGAGCTCAGTGGATTGGAATCCAAAGGGTACCATCACTAGTGATTGCAATTGACTGTGAATTATAGGATAAAACCATCCAGATCTCTGATGATCAGAGGTGGCTCAATATTATTTTGAGACTTTAGACGAAAAAATATAAAATGCCTTTTAATTAAATCTACTCATATATTTATGCTAATAATATACTAATTATTTATTTAGTGATTTTTAAACTTTATCACTAATTTTTTTTCAAAATTTGGTTCCATCATTAATTAATTAGCTATGTGCTTTATAATAATCACATTTAACAATATAAATAAAAATTACAAACAAAATATATAATTTTATGATAACAAAAATTAATAAAACTATAAACTAATTTAAGTTATAGAATAATAGAAATTGATTTCGAATAATTTGGTCTAATGCTCCAATAAATTCTTTAATAGAATATAAGTATATTGAAAATCTAAAAAAATTTATAATGAGAGTAGAAAAAATATGTGAGGAATAAGAAGAGAAAATAAAAGTTAATAGGGGTCTTAGAAAAATATAGAAAGTTTCACCAATTTTTACTTCAATATATATTTAACATTTAATTTTAATATGTGTGTATATATGCTAATGTAATGAGGATGAGAGAGAGAGAGGAAAAAAAAAGATAATACAGATATATTTTGGGCACGCTTTTAAATTTTGTATTTGTTGAGGTTTAATAATATAAGAAAATAAAATATTTAGGTAAGTTATAATATATAAAGAAAAAAAATTTGGTTGGGTCCTTCGCCTGAGGCTCCAGCCGGTCCTGTTGATGTTCTTAACCGTTCATCAAATTCTGATACGATGATCTCCGAGAATTTACCACTCTTAGTTGAAAAATGTAAATAGGGAAAAAGGATCGGTTAGTGCAGTTATGATAGTTACGTTTGGTTAAAATTGAAAGACCTGTAAATCAAATAAGCTAAGATTACAAAAATTAAAAAAGAAAAGTAAAAAGTGGAAGTTTTTGGAACAGAGAATGCAGGGAGAGAGAGAGAGTTGCAGGTGCAGGTGATGGGAGACCTAACACTTCACCACTTCCACATTTTTTCATCTTTTTATGTGCCTGCCTCTTCAACGTTCACTTTGGATTTCGTTTGGATCCCAAATCTGAGTGTTACATAACTTCTTTTTTCACACTAGTTGGTCTGATCAAAGATTGATGGTGGCCCCACAAAACGAAGCATTCATTATTCACTTCAAACTCTCTATTTATTTTAACGATTAAACTCTCTCTCACTTTATTTATTTAACCTCCAGATCTTAGTACACCAGATTCACTGCAAACCTGTATAAAGGACCAAGGCAGGAGTGTGCCTTTTTTGCTTCCTCACTGACTACTCTCTCTCTCCTCCCTCCCTCTCTCTTGATCGACGGAAAGCTCACCGGCAATTCTCCCTTCTCCGGCTATTACTGCTTAAATCATAAGATACTATTCCTTTTTCTTTCTTTTCATTTTGCCTCCAGAGATCAACTATTGTGTGCATGGTTCACCTAGTTTCTCTCCCTCCAAACATATATACATGTGTATATATATATATATATATACATACATAATCGGTTCCTTTCCGTGCTTCTTCATCTCCAATTTCTCTTGTTTGTGCTATGTATATTCTTCGGTAAATGCATATATTGATTGACAGTATTAGTAAATTTACATCTCTTTACATTTTTTTTATGTCTTCCTATCACACCTCTCTCCTTGTATTAGATATTTTCTCTCTATTCACACACACATAAATACACCACAGATCGTTTTTGTTATTTTTATCTATCTTTTTGTGCACATTGACAGTGTGTGTGGATTTCTACTATGTGAATGTCTATTTTTTTAAATTGTTTCAATGTCATCCTACATCCTTACTTGTATTATGCTCCTTTGATGTAATTTTTCTCTGTTCACGCACACATACATTATCGGTTCATTTTTTAGTTTTATCTGTTTTTTTTTTTTTTTTTGCATATTTATTGTGTGTGAATTTCTTCTCTGTGAATATATATTTCTTTACACTGTTTTTACTACTCTGATCGATGTCGTTTCCCTAATTACTCTATATATATATATATCTTTATATAATGTATATACGCTCATATATACTCTTCCTCGATAGCTCTGCCTATTTTTCTGATTTTGTGTTTATTTGTTTTTCTTTTACATGGCTTTGCAGGTAATACATTTTCTAGTCTGTTTGATTGCTTGTATTGCCTTTTTTTTTAATTATATACATAGATAGATTTTGTAGATGATTGATATTGATGATTATAATTTAATTACCTGTGGATAGGGGAAGATTGTTAAAGTAACGCGCTATCTCATAAGATTGAGATAGGCTCTACAGACTAAGATAAGGACTATGACTAAGATAAGGGTTACAGATTACGATAAGAATTGCAGAATACAATAAGGATTAGGCCAACAGATTATGATAAGGATTAAGAACGACGTGGACGCTACGTAACATCCTGATCCAAGTCCTATAAATAGGGAGGGCTAATCAACGTTTGGAGGTAGGCAAAAAACCCTAACTCAATATCTCGATTTCTCCAGAGAGATTATCATTCACACTGACTTGTTCGTCGGAGCCTACTCCACCAGTAACACACCGGTGTTTGTAGGATCACTTTTTCTTCTTTTTATTCAGGAAGTCAGATCAGATCCGGGTTGCGCAGAATCCATCTTCAATAGTTGGCGCCGTCTGTGGGAACTTATTTTTGTTCTCTAAACAAAGCATGGTTCTATTGCGATCTGGTCTGGCTGCTGGCGAGGGCAAAGGGTTGCAGGCTTCTGATGCAGGGACTTCAACGGGGCAACCCCCCGTCGTCCCAAATGATCAGGAACGCGTCGCAGCGTTGGAACAACTGGTGAACCAGTTAGTCCAGCAAAATGCGATGATTTTGCAACGATTAGCCGCCCCCAATGAGGAGAGAAACAGTGAAGTACCCAACGATGACTCCCATAGGGTTAACAACGATGTTGAGCTTAGTCAAATAGGGGGTCAACAGAGGAGCCATCACCATCGGTCCCCTGAACGGAATACCACCAGGCTCCGTGGAGATACTTCTAGTTATGTTGGAGACAAGACTGAGGACGCCACTCAGTTCGATCTAGAGTTGCAGGATCTGAAAGCCAAGGTTGACGATGTCATGTAAGCGATGAAAGGGAAGGGCCAGGCTGCAGTGAACGATATGGTACAAAAGACTAACCTAGCTTTTAGCCCAGCTGTTATGAGTTGTCCTCTACCTAGCAAATTCAAGATGCCAACTCTTGAGAGCTTCGATGGGACGCGGGACCCTCTCGACCATTTGGAGACCTACAAAGCTCTTATGTATTTGCAAGCCGTACCGGACGAGATTATGTGCAGGGCTTTCCCTACCACACTCAAGGGTTGGGCTCGTCTCTGGTTCAATAAATTAAAGCCAGGCTCCATTGAAAACTTTGAAAAGTTGAGCAAACAATTCATAGGACACTTCATCACTGGGCAGAAGCACAGGAGACCAGCAACACATTTACTTAATGTGAAGCAGCAGAAGGGAGAGTCCCTTCGTGATTACATAAGTCGTTTTAACACTGAAATGCTGCAAGTTGAAGAGGTGGACGACAAGGTTGCCCTCACAGCCTTTATGGGAGGATTACAGACTTCTAAGTTCCTATTTTCCTTATCAAAGGAAGCCCCTACAAGCATGACAGAGTTGATGGTTAGAGCGCGGAAGCACATGAACGCTGACGATGCTATGAATGCACGAAAAAACAAAGATGGTGAAGATAAGAGGTCGGATAAGAAGAGGCCAGCACCTAACACTAGGGAGGAAAGGGAATTGAAGTGCAAGAAATTCTCAAACAACCAGGCTGACAGAACGTTTCGCTGCCCAGCGAGCCCAGGTAGGTATAATAACTATACCCCCCTAAATACATCTGTAGAGCAAGTCTTTCTGCAGATTCAAGATGACGCATCATTGAAATGGCCACCAAAGCTAAAAACTGATCCAACAAAGAGGTCTCGAGATAAATACTATAGGTTTCACCGGGACCATGGACATAACACAGATGATTGTTTCGACCTCAAAAACCAGATTGAGAACCTTGTTCGTAAAGGTCGTTTACGCAAATTCACAACTAGAAATGGAAAAGGAGGCTCTAACCCAGCCCGGGAGGGCTGAGATGATCGCCCTCCTCAACACCAACCAATGGGTGAGATCAAAGTTATATCGGGTGGCTTCGCTGGTGGTGGTGAGACAAGTTCAACTCGGAAGGCTCATGCTAGGAGAATTCGGAGTTTTTCAGAGGTGAATGAAGTTGGAATGACAAGTCCTCCAACCAAATTACCTCGAGTTGAGGAGCCGGTCATAACCTTTTCTGAAGAAGATGACAAGGGAATTCACCAGCCCCATGATGACCCTCTTGTAGTTTCCATGGTCGTTGCTAATTTCACTGTTCGACGAATGCTAATAGACAATGGTAGCTCGGCTGACATACTATTTCTTAGGGCGTACGAGAAATTGAAAATTGGCTGAGAGAAGCTCCGACCCATGAAGTCACCACTGGTGGGATTTTCAGGCGACAAAGTATATCCACTGGGGGCAGTTACCCTTCCAGTTACTGCAGGAGCCAATCCAAAACAGGTCACTATAATGGTGGACTTTGTAGTGGTGGACTGCCCATCATCATATAATATTATCCTGGGGAGAACGACATTGAATGCTATGAAAGCAATCACGTCCACTTACCATCTCCTGATGCGTTTCCCAACTGAATATGGTGTGGGAGAGATAAGAGGGGACCAAACAATGGCTCGCGAATGTTATGTCGCCTCTCTCAGAAAAATAAAATCGCAAGAGGCATTTACGATTGAAGGGCTGGAAGGGAAAGATAGACCAGACTTTCATAGAGCGGAACCTACAGAGGAGCTAGAAGAGGTCATCCTTGGTGAGCCCAAGAAAAAAGTGAGTATAGGGTCTTTACTCCCCCCAGGTATCAAAGATGAACTTCCTCAATTCCTCAGGAAGAATCAAGACGTATTTGCATGGGTACATGAAGACATGCCGGGTATAGACCCCACTATCATGGAGCACAGCCTAAATGTAAATCCTGACTTCAAACCTGTCAGACAAAAGAGGAGGGCTTTTGCTTCAGAAAGGAATCAGGCTATATCAGAAGAGGTGGAAAAGCTCTTAAAAGCTGACTTTATTCAAGAGGTGTACTACCCCAACTGGCTGGCAAATGTGGTCCTAGTGAAGAAGGCAAATGGAAAATGGAGGCTATGTGTGGATTTCACCGACCTTAACAAAGCTTGCCCGAAGGGCAGCTTTCCTATCCCAAGAATTGATATGCTCATTGAGGGAACGGCTGGACACGAACTATTAAGTTTCATGGATGCATATTCTGGATACAACCAGATATCTATGTACACCTCAGATAGAGAAAAAACGGCCTTCATCACTAATAGAGGTTTGTACTGTTACAAAGTAATGCCGTTTGGGCTCAAGAACGCTGGTGCAACATATCAGAGGCTAGTGAATGCAATGTTTAAGCATCAAATTGGTAGAAACATAGAGGTATATGTTGATGACATGTTGGTGAAAAGCTTAAAAGCTGAAGACCATTTGACTGACCTGCAGGAGACCTTCGAGGTACTTATGAGTCATAAGATGAAACTCAACCCCAGCAAGTGTGCCTTTGGGGTTTCCTCAGGAAAGTTCTTGGGATATATGGTAAGCAGAAGAGGAATTGAGGCCAATCCAGAGAAGATCCGAGCAGTCATTGACATGAGATCGCCAAGATCAACCAAGGATCTACAACGACTAACAGGGAAGATTGCTGCCTTAAGTAGGCTAATCTCTCGGTCAACTGACAGGTGTCTACCTTTCTTTCGTGTGCTAAGGAAGGCTTTTGAATGGACCCCAGAATGTGAGCAGGCATTCAAAGAACTAAAGCAATACCTTAGTTCTCCCCCACTACTATCTCGAACCATACCGGGAGAGGAACTATACATATACCTTGCAGTCTCCACGACAGCTATCAGTTCAGCTCTGATACGAGAAGAAGAAGGGGTCCAAAGGCCAGTATACTTCGTGAGCAAAGCACTTAGGGGTGCGCAGGAAAGATATCCAAGGATGGAACAGTTGGCCTTTGCTTTAATTGTGTCCGCCAGGAAACTGAGACCATACTTTCAAGCGCATACGATAGTGGTCCTAACAGATCAACCCCTTCGACAAGTCCTACATAAGCCAGAAAGCTCTGGTCGACTGATGAAGTGGTCAGTAGAGTTAGGGGAGTTCGACATTCAGTATAAGCCAAGAACAGCAGTAAAGGCTCAGGTGTTGGCTGATTTCTTAGCTGAGTTTACCCCTCCAGAAGAGGAGAAACAACCCCAATTTTTGACAGAACCAAGTTTAAGTGAGTAGATGGGCCCAGAAGTAGTCTGGGACTTGTTCGTGGATGGGTCATCTACTGCTCAGGCTAGCGGAGCCGGGCTTGTTCTTGTCTCCCCAGAGGGAGAAAATATACAGTACGCACTTCGGTTTGGTTTCAAAGCAACCAACAACGAAGCAGAGTACGAAGCCTTGATAGCAGGATTAAAAGTGGCAAATGCCCTAGGGGTTGAGCAATTAAAGGTGTACACTGACTCCCAGCTGGTCGCTGGACAAGTTCTAGCAGAATATGAGGCACGAGACGAGAAGATGAAGAGTTATCTACAAAAGGTGAAGGAATTAAAGAATCACTTCCAAAGATTCTCAATTCATCAAATACCACGAGAAGAGAATGGGAAAGCAGACGCTTTAGCCCGGCTAGCTACTGCATTAGAACCTGAGATCAATAAGAATATACCACTGGAATATTTGGATGAACCATCTATATCTCAGGAGAGACAAATTGAAGTGCAACAAGCGATATTGAGTGTGGAATGGGCAGATCCTATCATCAGATATATCAAGGATGGGGTGCTACCAACAGACCGAGTAGAAGCTCAAAAGGTCAAGATGCGGGCAGTTAGGTATACGCTTATCAAAGGGGTGCTCTACAAGAGAAGCTTCTCCATGCCGTATTTACGATGCGTTTCCAGCGAGGAAGCTGACTACATTTTGAGGGAGATCCACCTAGGAGTTTTTGGAAACCATGCTGGGGGTAGGTCACTTGCAAACAAGGCCATCCAACAAGGATACTATTGGCCCACCATGCAGAAAGATGCACTTGACTTCGTTAAAAAGTGCGACAAGTGTCAACGATTTGCCAATATCCCGAAACAACCGTCAGAGGAGATGACTCCCATGTCAGGACTATGGCCATTTGCTCAATGGGGAATGGACTTGATTGGCCCTCTCGTCAAAGGCAAAGGGCAGACTAAGTATGCCATTGTTATGGTTGATTACTTCACTAAATGGGTAGAAGCTAAGCCTCTGGCCAAGATCACAGAGAACAATATAAGGAAGTTCGTATGGAAATCAATAGTTTGCAGGTTTGGGATTCCTAGAGTGATTGTCACAGACAATGCAAAACAGTTCGATAACTCTGACTTCAAAAATTTTTGTTCCGAGCTCGGGATTCAAATTCATTTCTCATCGCCAGGACATCCCCAGGCGAATGGATAGGCCGAAGTCACTAACAGAACAATCCTTCAGATGATCAAGACTCGACTTGATGCCGCAAAGGGACTGTGGCCTGAGTAGCTGCTGAGTGTACTGTGGGCTTACCGTACTACTGCAAGGACTCCCACAGGGGAAACCCCTTTTCTTTTAGCATTTGGAAGTGAGGCAGTAGTACCTGTAGAGATTGGCCTAACAAGCTTTAGGACGGAGCACTACGAGCCCAAGCAGAACGAAAGGGAGTTGGAAGTAAGCTTGGACCTAATCGAAGAAAGGAGATACCTAGCCCGGATTATGATGGCTACCTATCAACAGAAGGTTTCCAAGTATTATAATGCTCAGGTCAAGCCTAGGAGGTTCTCAGTAGGAGATTTAGTACTCCGCAAAGTTACTCAGGCAACTAAGGATTCAACCATAGGGAAACTAGGTCCCAAATGGGAAGGGCCTTACAAAGTTACGCGATGTCAGCGACTAGGAACATACTGGTTGGAGGACTTAAAGGGAAAGCCACTGCCTCACCCATGGAATGTTTAGCATCTAAAGAAATATTATCAGTAAACAATTTCAGTTTAGTCTCAATTTATTATTTATTTTTGCTAATACTTCTAGTTGCAATAATTACTTCATTCTCTACGAATGAATTTCTTCAATAGCCTTGTTATCAACTTTGGCTTTAATAAAGTATTCCCTACTTGGATCAGTTGTTTCAAATAATTCATTATCATTTTGATATGTTAAGATATTCATGTTAAATGGGTGAGCTGGGTGAAGCTCATAATAATCTACTTCCCTTGTTAAAGGGTGAGCTGGGTGAAGCTCATAGCAATCTACTTCCCTTGTTAAAGGGTGAGCTGGGTGAAGCTCATAATAATCTACTTCCCTTGTTAAAGGGTGAGCTGGGTGAAACTCATAGCAATCTACTTCCCTTGTTAAAGGGTGAGCTGGGTGAAGCTCATAATAATCTACTTCCCTTGTTAAAGGGTGAGCTGGGTGAAGCTCATAGCAATCTACTTCCCTTGTTAAAGGGTGAGCTAAGTGAAGCTCATAGTAATCTACTTCCCTTGTTAAAGGGGGAGCTGAGTGAAGCTCGTATACATCTACTTACCTCATTACATAGACGAGCTGAGTAAAACTCGTCTTAATCTACTTTCCTTATCAAAGGGATGAGCCGACCAAAGATGTCAATAAAATAACATAATGCGGCAGTCGCAATGGCAAAACATAACTGTCCTTCCTACTTATCAACCCTACAAATATAAATGGAAACTGATTGTAAAGAAAGAGAAGTTTCAAGCACAAAGAGAAACATGGGAGCAAATAAATGAATGGCTACACATCTATCCTATTCGGAATCACTCGCTTCATCTAGTTGAATGACAGAGAAGTCTTGGTCTGCAAATTCAAAAGCAGCACGATTCCGAAAATCTTCGAAGCCGTCAAAGTAGGCCTTCGACATAATCTCCTTGAAGGTGGGTGAGGTTTTAAACTCACCCACTGCATTGGTTTTTTCCACCATTAGTTTCTGGGACATCTCCTTGTTCAGTTTTTGCACATAAGATGCATGACAAGCTCGTTCT